ATGTAGGGACTGGCATTTGCCTGTCTGCACCCCTCAGCGTTTTGGACATGGCATGCAAGCAGACGGGGCTTGGCTGGGAGAAGGTGGAAGGAAGGAGCAGAGCAGAGTTCCCAGGAACAGCTCGTCTCCGGGGGCTGCCGGAGATGCATGGAGGAGCCTGGAAACTCTGGACAGGTGTGACGGATCAACGGGCCGTGTTGGGGGGGCCAGGGCCTGAGTGCTGCTGGCTGCGGGCAGGAGCACGTCTCAGTGGCCACCTGCAGCTGTCTCCGGCAGCTCCCTGGCCTGGAGCCCTACGCTGCGCTGCGGTTCCATCGCTCGCTGTCCCGGAGCTGCAGCCATCCACCTCCGCAGCTATTTGTCCTGTGCTTCCCCAATGTGACAGCTCTCCAAGCGTCACTCCAGGCTGCAGGGATAAGCACCGCGGAGTCCAGAGCAGAGCAGCCTGTGCAGGGCATGGAGGGCAGGTGCGGTTCGGCCTTTCCCGTGTGCGCAGGCCCTGGGGGTCCAAAGCGCTCCACTGGAGCCAGCGTCTCTGCTGCGGAGCAAACCTAGGCGACCTGACGAGAGTCGCGCAGCCCAGGCACCCAGGCAGCTGGCGCTGCAGCTGGCGCGGGCTGGACTGGAGACATAACACCCCCCCCTGCTTTTCAGCAAGCCGCAGCTCACGTTGACGTGGCTGGTGCAGAAAGCCCCCAGTCCTTGTCCTGCCACAATACAGGCTCAGTGTCTTGCACTGCTCTGCCCAGTGCTCCTGGGCGCGGGGGGGTGGCTGCAGGCTCAGGACAGGATGCAGAAGTTTGTAAGTCTCACACACACCCTCTATTTTTGGAGCTGTAACAAGGAGATATTTTTAAAGCCCTTAATTACAGCTCTGCCTTGGAAGCTGACGTGCCGGCCTGTGCCAGCCTGCCAGGCAGTAATGGGGGGTTATCACCGAGGCGGGCGGCTCTGCTGTGCTGTTGCGGCTGGCCGTGGGGGAGCTGGGAGGCCAGCGCCAGTGTGTGCTAGTGGGGAGGGCGCCTGGGAGGCTTCACCGATTGACTGGCTAGAAGCGCAGCTCCCCAGAGGTTTCCTAGCTTGCTGTGCTGTTTGCACACGGGTGCTTGGAGCAGAGCCCCTCGGCCAGGGGCAGCTGCATCCCTGGACAGGCATTGTTAACAACATGCAGGGCAGATGTGGCCGGGGTCTGCTTGGGTGCTGCATCTGGGAGCTGCTGGTAGCCGTGCTCCTCTGGCAGAGGGCCGGCAGGGCAGTGTGATGCGCTGGTCGGAGCGGGTGGTTCGTGGCGCTCTGGAGGGCCGTCTCCCTGCGTGCCCCCACCAGCAGTGTCCTGCTGCTTCCGTCCTCCAGGCAACGGGGAGCTCCGGGATGGCTTCCTGCCACGGGGAAATGCCCCAGCGCGGTGCTGCAGTGAGCAGGGCCCTGCATCGGCAGGGCTCTGCATATGTGGGCAGGGAGGCTGGCAGGGGAGGGATGTCGCTCAGCTCTCACTGGCCTGGCACTCGAGGTGATGAGCTGGTTCAATTCGGGTGGGCCTCAGCACCGAGTGCATGCTCAGCACGGGGTCCTCCAGGGGCACGTCCAGCACTGCTCGCTGGCCTCGTGCACACTGCCTCCCGCGGTGCCCCGTGCTGCTGCTGCCTCGAGCCCCTGACGTCCCCCGTGATGCAGCCGTGAGGGCAGGAGTGGTGAGGAGGGCACCCCACTGCCTGCAGACCCAGGGCTCGAGCTGCAGTCTCGCTGCTGCTCATCCACTGGGGCAGGGATGCAGCCGGCAAAGTGCTATGGGGTGTGTGCACGGTGCTGCTGCTTTCCTGGTGCCCCAGGGATTGGCATCTCCACACCCTGCAGGTCAGGCCCACGGGACCCATCTCCCCCTTGCCTGGGCCCTCTGGCACTGCTGCCCGCGCTGGTGCTGGCGCTCTGTGTAGCGCGCACCCGCACTGCAGCACCCAGCCAGGCTGCAGGGGCACGGCCTGCCCTGGGATCCAGGCAGAGGGGTGGGTGCCGAGCAGCCCGGGGCCTGTGCCTGCGCTCCTGTGCGTTCTGGCAGCAGTTTCCTTTGTTGCTTTCTGTGCTCAGCACCCACATCTGGAGCAGCGAGCCTGGCCTTTTGGCTGCACCTTTCACTGCACTGTGCTTGCCCTGTGACTTGGGAGTAGGGAGGCGCTCGGCACAGCCTGTCCCACGGCTCTGCATCCTGTCCGGGGGCCCTGGGTGCTTCCATCTGTTTTGCTCATCAGAGAGCACCAGCGGCTTCGCTGTACGCTCGGACAGTGCACAGATCATGCCCTGGGCGCTGCAGTTGGCCTCGGAGCATGGCGGGGGAACGTTGCCCACTGTCCCCGGCCTGGGTGGTTCTGTCAGTGCTGTCAGTCGTGGGCACCCGGAGTCACCAAAGGTCAGTCTGAGATGCACAGGGAAAGGCTCCTCGTTTCCACCATGGTTAGCACGTGCAGCTGGTGCTGCAGGAGTGGGGGAGACTGTGATGGGGTCAGGGGTCTCCTGGACTGTGCCCGTGCTGGTCCTGGGACTAGTCGTGCTGAACCAGATCAGTGACTGGCCCTTCTCCATGGGATCCTGGTGCTGGATGGGGCCTGCTCTGTGGGCACTGGGATCCCTGAGACGGGTCCAGACCTGTTCCCCTGGGCTTTGCAGGGCTTGGGGTGCTGTAGTGGGAATCCATGCAGCGCCAGGGCAAGGTCAGTGGGCAGTACTGCCAGGGCTGGGCTGGGCTGAGCTGCGGGTTCGGGCGGTGCTGGTCCTGGGCAGGGAGCCCTTTACCTGGTTCAGTCGGGCTGCGGGCGCCACAGGTGGGAGCTCGAGGGCCTCACGTATGGTTCATAAAACGGTAGTTTGGCACAGGTCACCAGCCCAGCTTTCTCCCCGGGTCAGCATTGGCCTCTCCCCGCTCTGCCCTGCCCGTGTCCTTGCGTCGCTCTCTGCTGCCAGGTCTCCACTTGCAGTCCGAGCCGACGACCGTTGGTTGCTCCTGCGCACGCAAAAGAGCAGTGGGGCGGTGCTGTGCCATAGAGCTGGGCTGGGGCCCAGGCTCTGCTTACACGGGGGTTGACCTAGAGCCAGCGCTGGTGCCCAGCCAAATCCCGGGTGGGGCAAGCCCCGGGGCGCAGGGCAGCCAGAGTCCGAGCCCAGCCGGGCCTGTCTCACTCCTTGGTGCCGTGCTGTAGCCGCCAGCCTGGCCGTGGCTGCTTCACAGCTGGTGTTTGCTTGTTTTCTCACTTGCAACCTGGCTGCTGGAGAAGGGCCGATCCTTTTCTCTCCTCTCTGCTTTGCACTGACCACGGGGCTGGGGGACCTGCTATGTCTGCCCTCTCCCATCTGGCAAGCCATGTCTGCCGTGGGGTCGCTGCATTTGCCTTACCTGCTTCCTGTGGGGCGGGGGCAGATGCCCCCAGCGGACAGGGCAATCTTACTTGCCTCGTTGCACAGCTCGTGGGGGTGCAGGGCTTGTTCCCGGACCATGAGCCAGCCCCACCACAACCATCCCTCTGGTTTCATTGGCACGACACCCAGTGCTCACCCCCCGTGCGTGGTGTGACCGGGGGAAAGGCCGGGGCAGCCTCGGTGCGCTGGGGCGCCCATGAACCAGCCACCTCGTGCTGCATCCGAGTACGGCTGCTGCCCTCGTGCAGGGCCGGCCTGGCCGCCTGTCAGCTGAGCAGGGTATCCCCACAGCCCTGCGGTGAGGGCCGGCACCCCTGGCTACTGGTGCTGGAGCACGTGGCTGTGCTGTTCTTGCCGTGCCAGGGAGGACAGAGGTGTGATGCGTCTGATGCAGTTTGCAGCTAAGGACCTGGGATGAGGGTGGGTAAAAAAAGGTTGTGGTGGGAGCTCAGGGTTCAGCCCTGGTGACCAGGGCAGTGGCAGCGCTTCCTGTGTCCCCAAGCGGTCCCACGGGGCGGGGAGCCTGTGCTCCGCAGGTGCCCACACCTCGGCCCAGAGGTGTGCGCAGAGCAGCAGGGGAAGAAGGGTGCGCGCTAGGGCGAGCGGGGGTCCCCTTCCTGCAGTGCCAGGCGAACAGGAGCCTCCCCGCCTGCTGGCACCGGTTTGAAGCAGGCGCAGACCCCGGGGCTGCAGTGGAGCCAGCGCGCTGGCGCTGCGTGTCTGAGAGCGCAGACCAGCCCGGCTTGTGGGCTGCTCCGTTCTGCGGGGCACGGGGCGGTGGTGGGGCAGGTGCGTCTCAGACCGGTCTAGCTCGCTCTTGCTGGTCACCAGTTTCATGCACGGCGGTGGTGGTGGGGACGTCCTACCAGAGCCATTCAGCGTTTCTGGTAACAGTGCAGAAAGACAAATGCCCAGGCATGGCTGGGCAAATGCAGGCAGTGCAGGAGGGCTGGGGGTAGCAGAGCCTGCCAGGCCAGCCCCACCTACAGACCAGTCCGGATCTGCGGGGACGTGGGTGCACGTGAGCTGCCTGGTGCTAGCAAAGCCAGTGCAAGGTCATGCGTTGGGATGTGCTCATGGGGGTGGCCTATGGCCAGAGGGGCACCGTGCACCCCTGCAAGGCCTACTGACGCCAAGCTGGGGCTGGAGTGGGAGACCTGATCCTGCGCTCAGGCCAAGGCAGGGGGCAGCGAGCAGAGCGGGGAGGCCTCTGTGCAGGGGAGCGGGGCCCCGTGATTGCAGAAAGGTGCTGGGACACCAGAGCGGGGTCAGACAAGCCCTGGAGCTACGGCTGGACCGCCCACCTCTTGAGGGAGACGCTTCCTCCGCTCTGCCACCTTCCTCGTCCCGGAGAGCTCTGCTTTGGCCCTGCTGGGCGCTGGAAAGGGGCCCTGGCTGGTGGTGCAGGAGCTCTGACTTCGGGGGTCCCGCACTGCTGCGTGCCTGGGGCTCCTGCTGGATCCGGGGAGTGAGGGTGGCCGTGCGCGGGGGCCAGCAGGTGGGAGCAGGGAGCGGCTCTCCGCGGCTGGGGTGGGCAGCACGGTGCCCTGAGCGCCCCACGACCAGTGACGGCCCCGCTGTGCTCTTCTCCCCCAGGCACACGTTCTGGCAGTACCGCCGGGAGAACCCGCGCACCAAGGTGGGCGACCCCCCGCCAGATGGGCTGCCGGGCTTCAACAGCGGCGTGCTGCTGCTCGACCTGGAGGCCATGCGCCGCTCCCCGCTCTACAACCGGCTGCTGGAGCCGGCCGCGCTGCAGGAGCTCACGGAGAAGTACCACTTCAAGGGGCACCTGGGGGACCAGGACTTCTTCACCCTGGTGGGCATGGAGCATCCCGAGCTCTTCCACGTGCTGGACTGCACCTGGAACCGGCAGCTCTGCACCTGGTGGAAGGACCATGGCTACAGCGACGTCTTCCACCACTATTACGCCTGCGAGGGCCCGGTCAAGATCTACCACGGGAACTGCAACACGCCCATCCCCGACGACTAGCACCCGCCCTGCCGCTGCCGCCGCCGCCCCCCACGGGGCTGGAGCTCACAGCGAGGGGTAGGTGGGGGCACCAGCACCGCGCCCCCTGGCCGCCGCGGGCACCTGGGCCACGGGACTGCCCCGTAACCCTTCCATAGCCTGTAGCTTCACCCTGCAGGGAGGCAGAGTAACCTAGTGGTTAGCGCAGGACCCCAGGCATCAGCCCAGCGCTGACCCTGGCTTACCTCGTGACCCTGGGCACATTGCGGGGGCCCTTCGCAGCCTGGTTTCACTCCCTCTGATTGGCACCGTTGCCCTCGTCCCAGCGCAGCCCTGAGGCCAGTTTACGTAACGAAAGCCTAGAGCCCCGTGTGCGCCGGGCCCACGTGCCTGACAGCTCCGCGGCGCAGCCGCTCGCCCGGCCATTGCGCAGCACAGCCCGTCGCTGTCTGTCCGCGCCTGGGAACTGGGGCATGGTGCCCGGTGTCAGCGCCCTCGGCGGGCCGGCCCCGGGTGGGGAGGGGTTGCGTGCACACCGAGCCGTGTTGGTGACGTAGCAGCGCTGCTGGGCTATTGGGACCACAGGTGAGATGGGAGCATGGAAACTTGCCTCCCGTTCCCAGCCACAAAGCTTTACTGCACGGCTCCTCAGAGCCACTCGGTGCGCCTGGGCCTGGGCCTGGGCCTGGACCAGGAGCTTCCTTTGTCCAGCTTCCCCCAACCTTTTGTACGGCCGTGCAGCTGCACGGCGCCCTGCCCTTGTCGGCTTCCCGCGGCCTGAAGCTTCAGGCAAATGGATTTTGTATGAATATTTTCTTTTCTTTCACTCTGGTTAGGATGTAGCCAGCACACAGCTGTCGGGTAGGTACGGCACCGTGTCCTACGTGCCTCAGCCGTGTGCAGTTGCAGGAGTGTCCCCTGTCAGGCGCGTAATAAAGTGTATTCTCATCCATTATTATCCTTACGTGTGCGAGAGTGATAATTAGTGGCTGAGGCAACGCGGGCCACTAGGCCTTGGGGATCTGTGCACCTAGGGATCGCCAGGCCCCTCCTGGGTTAGCGCGCTGCCTCCCTCAGCCGCACAGTCCAGCCGAGGGCCGGCCGGGCTCCCCCTCCTCTGAGGAGCCGAGCCCGGTCCTTCCTGCCTGGCGCCAGTGCTGCAGAGGCAGCAGCGGGGCGGTGTGACCATGTTGCGGGGAGGGTACGCGTGTGCCGCTGCGCCTGACGCTGTGGCTCTGAGCGTTGTGACGGCCGCACTAAGTGCTGCAGAGACACCTGGGTCACGTGGCTGCGGCAGACATGGCCCTGGCCCCCACGCCGCGCTCCAGGGAGCATGGGGACGATGCGCAGCATTCTCCCTGGGGCTGCCCGTGCCTTTAGCTCCCGCCACCCCGTCACGGAGGTGGCATCATGGCGCAGACCCCCATGCAGCCCCCGAGCTGCCCCGGCTCCTAGCACCGTGTCTGAGCCCACACGCTGCATGCGCTGGGCTCGCGCCTGCTCCACCACGGCCTCAGCTCCTGCTTCCTGGGTGCTCGGCCTGTCTCGCGCCTGTCTTCCTGCGGCCCACCTGCCAGCTGAGTGCCCTTGTGCAGCCCCTTCACACGGACGCGTCTCCGGGAGCGGGGGGCTGGGGCACCTCACACTCCACCCCACAATTTGGGAAGCGGAGGGGAGAGGAAATTTGCTGCAGTCCGTAAGAGCAAGGCTTGGCCCACGGCAGAGCCCAGACGGGAGCGCGCTGAGCCGTGTGAAGCAGGCAGAGCTGCGCTGAGACAAGACGGCCCATGTGAGCCCTGAGCCACCCACGGTGCCCGTCGGAGGGAGCTCTGGGATTTCCCTGGCCGGCCCGGGGCACGGCTGTGTCATCCTGCCCTGCCGCACGCATGGCAGCTTGTGCAATAGCCCTGTGCAGGCATGTTGCTGGGCACACCTGTGGCATGAGCATACCAGCTCAGAGCCACCCCTGCCCCCTTGGCACACGCACACAGCCCCCCAGCTCTGGCGGGGCTGCTGCGCTGGATGTGACCTGTGTTACGCTGCAAAGGCTTCCCCAGGCCAGGCCTGTGTGCTCAGCTCCTTGTGCCTGTCACGCGTGGGTGCACGTTGGAGCAGCCTGGCAGCTGCCTTAGCGGCCCGGGACGCCGGGGCCAGAGCAGCAGCAGGGGCCCCGCAGAGCCGGGCAGACCATGCAGCAGCTGCTGGCCCGTGCCTCTGGGCCAGCCGCCCACCCCAGGCACAAGCACCTGGGTGCTGAGTTGCACCAGCTCCAGGGGCGGGGTGGGGCTGCTCCAGGGCACCTGGGGAGGAGTGCAGGAAACAGCACCCAGCTGGGACCGGCTGCTGTGGCAATACCCAGAGCACGTCCTCTGCGTGCAGGCTGCGCCCAGGAGCCCTGGTGCCCCAGGGAGGGGTGGGACCGGGGCAGGGAGTTCGCTGCGGCCCTGGCGCCCAGCAGCTGTGCCCGGGAGAGCGCCCAGCGCCCGGCTGCATTCCAGCAGCGCAGCGCAGCGCCTTCTCCCCCCCTGCGCTGCCCATCACGGGAGCGCCCGCCTCGCTTCCTGTCCCAAACCGGGTCACCCCGCAGCTCTCGGCAGCAGCTGTGTTTCCACCTGCAGCACAGCCCTGCTCAGGCTGGGCTTGCTGCCGCGAGCGGGAGGGCGGCGGGCAGGGAAGAGCCTCGGGGCGGTGGGGACCAGCGGCCGCCAGGCACCCATGTGTAAGCCCCTGCCCTGCGCCAGGTCCTGCCTTGGCCCGCCGCCGGTCCTAGACGAGGCAGGGTGGGGAGGGCTCGGCCCAGGCAGGGGCAGGCCCGCGGTGGGCGTTGGAGCAGGGCGGAGGTGACCGGAGAGGCTTGCAGAGGGTCCCAGGCTGGGGGGCCCAGCACCTGCAGGACAGCCTGGGCCATGGCAGCGGGCAGCCAGTGCAAAGGGCAACGGGCATGGGAGCTTCCACGTATCACAGCTACGAAACGCGTGGAGCGCACAGATGGGAAACGGGGAGCAAAGAAACCCGCTGTGCCCATCGTGTAATGGGGCACGTGCCGTGCCGCCGCGTGCCCACGGCCAGGAGCTGCAGCAGGGCGAGAGCGGAGCGAGACGCAAGGTGGACGTGGCCCCAGGGAGCGTGTCCCACTTGGCCAGCCACGGCGATCCAGCCGGGGTCTCGGTCCCTGCCCTGCAGTGGGGCTGGCATGGGTGTGCAGCCGGCCCAGCCGGGCTGCTTGTGCCCCCGTGTCCCCGCGCGCGGGCCCTTCCCTGCTGCAGACGCGTCCGCGGGCCGGGCGCTCCCAGCCCCCGGAAGCAGCGAGAGGCTGGAGTCAGTTCCTTGTTCCTGGTTCCTTTCTCAAAGCTAATCCTTGCCCAAGGAAAGGGTGTTCAAAACAAACTGCACAGACTAGAGAGTCAGGATGTCAGCTAAAATGTGTATTTGATAATTGAAATGTAAAACGATACCATGCATCATGCACGGAGCCCTGAAAAACAGCCTGAGCGTGGGCTAGGATTACAGGTGGAAATCCTTTTCGGGCCGCCCCAGACCTCATGTCTCTGCCACCGGGGAGCACTTCTGAATAAGTCTGAGCAGGCCCCGTCTGACCCCAGGCTCAGAGTTTGCAGGCCAGTCTCCCCGCTGATGCCCCTGCCCAGGCTGGCGCGGTGCGGCTTGGGGGGACGGAGGGAGATGTTATTGGGGGTTTCACCCAATAACCCAGCCCAAAATACGATCCTTATGTGGGCAGTGTACAGGTACCGAGGGGCGGGTGGCAGCTGGCACTCGGCAGCCGAGCATCGGGTCGAGCAGGGACCTGCCAAGAGTCCCTGGGGGGCGGCGAGGAGGATTTTGCCCCATAATCCCAGCCTGGAGCGCTCTCCTTATTCACAGGGATGTAGGTAGCACGTAAGTCGGGGGGATGTCGGCTGGCACGCGGACACCAGGCTCTGGGCCAGGCAGTGCCTGCCCCCCCAGAACAAGGGAAGCGCGACAGGACAGCCGACACGCGGGAGAGAACCGAACTCTCAAACGAACGCTTTGCGTCGGTCTTGCACCAGACCAAGGCTATTAACTTGCCCGACAGGAAGCCGGTGGCCAAGGTGGGAGTGCTCACCCACCTAGAATCGGTGAAGACCTGGGGAGGCTGCACATCTACAAGTCAGCAGGACCAGACGTGGCCGGCTCCTGGCCCCCAATGACTCCTCTTCCCCAGCACATCCGTCCCGCCGGCCCCTGACCAGCCCTCCCGGCTCCGTGGAGGAGGCTCCCGCCGCCCCGCAGGGTCCCCTGGGCTCGCAAAAGACCCCGAAGCTGTGGTGCCCACGGGCCTGGCCGCCGCGCGGACCTCACTCGGCACCAGGCGAACTGCGGGGCAGAAAGGCCAGGCTTCAACCCAAGCTGAGCACCCTGGCGACACCTGACCGCCCAAACCGGGAGCCCGGGAGGTGGCCGTCTCCCAGCTGCTCCGGCTGCCCGTGTCCCGGGGCGGGAGCTCGGCTGGCGGGGTGGGGGCGCTGGTCGTGTGCTGCATCGTCCGCGGCAGCACAGAGCTCCCAGCGGCTGGACGCTGCCCGTGCTCGGGGCCTCCGTCCTGTGCTGTGGGTGCAAGGGGGCCAGCCCCTGTTGCAGAGATGCCCGGGGCCGTCTGCAGGCAGGGCAGTGCTGCAGTCAGTGCTTCATCCTTGCTCTGGTTCCCAGCAGAGCTGCGGGCAAAATCCACCTGGCAAAGCAGCGCGGCGCCCGCCACCCCGCGCCTGCTGCGTCTCCTGCCTTGGGCCAGGCTACAGCTCCAGCCGAGCCGCCTGCCTGCCGGGCAGCGCCTGCTCCGCCCGCCCGCCGCGCACCACGTCGAAGGTGCTGGTGAGACTCGGCGCCTCCTGCTTCATGCCCACCGAAGCACCTGGCTGCCCTGTGCATCCCGAGTGAGATCGGTGGCCCTGCGTGCGGTGCTGGATCGGTGCCGTGTCTGCCGCCTGTCTCCGGCTCCCTGCCCCTCCTGCACCCTGGTGCTTGGGGGTCTCGCCCCAGGTCCCTCAGGCCCTGCCCTGTGCCCCAGCCTCGCTGCAGGGCGTCCCCCAGCTCCACGGGAGCGTGGCCGTGCTCATCTCCCGTGAGCGGGCCGCAGCAGCCCGAGTGCCCCGACGACCAGGTGGACCCTGGGCGGGCTGAGTCTTCTCTCCAGGACTGGCTCTGGGACGGGGCTTCACGGCGGGACGCGAGGGGCTCTGGTCCGGGAGCACTGCAACGCTGGGCCTGGGGCTTTAGCGCCAGCCCGGCTGCAGGGCAGGGCAGCGAAGTGACCAGGGAGCGCGAGGAGCATTTTGGATCCTGGCGAACGGGGAGAGGGAGGGAGCCTGAGCAAGGGTGGGGGGAGCTGGTCGACAAGGGGCAGGGAGCGAGGCCAACAGGAATCGTGTGTCGCTTCCAGCTGCCATCTCCCGTGCCTGGCCGCCCCCTCCACATGCACTGGGGAAGGCATGAGGCATGTGCCACGTGGGACCGTGGGCTCAGGGAGCGTGCCTGCGTGCACGAGCACGTGTGGCAGGAGGACTGAGACCCAGCCAGATGGCTGTGCGCACCCCTGCGAGCCGCGTGAGCCCGCCTGCAGCTCCCCCGGGGCTGC